GAAATAACATAGAATAGAAAGAACAACAACAATTATAACAGAGACAAAATAATCACGGAAAGAAGTACAGCTCAACACGGAGATAACAACCGGGTATCTCCCAGGATATCGTCCTGTAGTCCCTAAATATAAATATCCAGTGGATCTCCCGGGTGCAATCCCGTAGTCCAACTCACAATGTGCGAGGATCTACCAGAAATCCGATCCGTAGTCCCAAATGTAAATATCCAGTACAGGGGGAATCTACCAGGTGCAGTCCCGTAGTTCCAAAGTAAATGTGTAGGAGGATCTACCGGAATACAAATCCGTAGTCCCAAAGTAAAAATACAAGGGGATCTACCGGGATACCGACCCGTAGTCCCAAAGTAAATGTGCAGGGGGATCTAAGGGGATACCGTCCCGTAGTCCCAAAGTAAACACACAACAACAACACGAAGAATACACAGTTCAATTCAAATCCCATACTAAGGAAAAACAGGTACTTCTAGCCTAGCATATTGCACATACTCCAAATAGGGCAGTTGAGCAAGTAAAACAATTAAGTCAATTAGACATGCTTCCCTAAGCTAACAACATGCTTAAATTACAAGTAGTATAAACAGCAAAAGAACAACAACAACAACAACAACCCAGTATAATCCCACTTAGTGGGGTCTGGGGAGGGTAGTGTGTACGCAGACCTTAACCCTACCCTAGGGTAGAGAGACTGTTTCCAAATAGACCCCCGACATCCTTCCTTCCAAGAACTTCCCACCTTGCTCTTGAGGAGACTCGAACTCAACAACCTCTCGGTTGGAAGTGGGGGTTGCTTACTATCAGAGCAACCCCTCTTGTCATAGCAAAAGAAACACAATTAAAATTACTTAAAGAAAACTGAATTTTCAACAATTAGCACAAGTACGCACTCGTCACCTCACATACAATGCATTTCAAATATCAATAATACCAAATCCTAAGGGGAGTTTCCCCCACACAAGGTTAGGCAAGCCACTTACCTCGAACTGACTCAAAATCAACCCGAAACCACGTTCTTGCCACAAGTACTCGACTCCAAATGACCCAAATCTATTCAATTCAAATGAATAATGTAAATAACACTTCAAGTAACTGATTCTACAAATAAATTCTAAACTAATACGCGAAATTAGGTAAAATAACCAAAACGCCCCTCAGACCCACGTCTCAGAATCGGGTAAAATTTATATTTTCAGAATCTTTGTACTCTCACGAGTCCAATCATGCCAAAATTATCCAAATCCAATGTCAATTCCCCAATCAAAACTTGAATTTTTGGTCTAAGAACTTTCCCCCAATTTTCATACAAATTCAGAAATTAAATGATGAATTCATGTTTAGATTAATGGGTTACAAGCAAAAAGGAGTTAAGAATTGTTACCCAATCGATATCTCTGAAAATCCCTCAAAACCTCGCTCAAATCCGAGCCCCCAAGCTTAAGTTTTGATAAAAATGGCTAAACCCTCGTTTTTGAAATGTTTAATACTGCCCAGGTGGTTGTATATCGCGATCGCGTAAAATAAGCTGCGATTGCGAAGAGGAAAATCTGATGTCTCCTGAACTGGGCTATGCGAACGGATGATGAAGCACGCGAACGCGGAAGAGGGAAAGGCAGGCTTACGCGTTCGCGGACAGGACAATGCGAACGCGTAGAGGAAATGGTCATAGTACCCCCCGCTCCTAGTTCTACTACGCGAATAGAGGGATGCGAACGCGAAGGAGGAGGGGGCAGACTTCCGCGATCGTGAGCGAAAACATGAGAGCGCGAAGAAAAATTAAATCATCCTCCGAAATTACGCTACGCGAACACGGAGGGAAGGGCGCGAATGCGATTAAGGAAACCAGATACCAGCAGTTCTGCAATTCCAACAAGTCCCAAAATGACCCGTTGAGCATCCGAAACACACCCGAGGCCCCCTGGACCTCAACCAAACATGCCAACCAATCCTAAAACATCATTCAAACTTGTTCCAATCTTCGGAACGCTCAAAACAACATCAAAACACCAATTTAACATCGGATTAAAGCCTAAGAATTCCAAAAACTCTCAAATTACGCTTTCGATCAAAAAGTCTATCAAACCTCGTCTGAATGACCTGAAATTTTGCACACACGTCACATTCAACACTACAGAGCTACTCCAACTTCCAGAATTTCATTCCGATCCCGATATCAAAATCTCACTATCGAACCGGAAACTTCAAAAATTTAACTTTCGGCATTTCAAGCTTAAATTAGTTACGGACCTCCAAAACACAATCCGAACACGCCCCTAAGCCCGAAATCACCCAACGAAGATAAAAGAACCAACAGAATTCCATTCTGAGGCTGTCTTCACACTGCTCCGACTACGATCCAATTTCTATAACTTAAACTCTCATTTAGGGACTAAGTGTCCCAAAACTCTCCGAATCTCAAACCAAACATCCCGGCAAATCAAAATAGTAGAAACAAATACGGGGAAATCAGTTAATAGGTGATCAGGGCGTTAATTCTTAAAACGACCGGTCGGGTTGTTACAGTCTTGAATGTTTCTTAAAGCATAATAATCAATTCGATATTGATGGTTTAGATTTATTTTTTGAAATAAGGTATTAACAAAATTGTACAATTGGAAGATAACAACTTAATTAATACACTTAATCAAATAAAAAGATTTAATTCTTTTACAAATGTCTAAATTGCTTGTGGAATAATGTTCATAACTCATGTTATCGTTGCTTCAGCGGAAAGAAGTTTTCAAAATTAAAATTGATAAAATCTATCTAAGAACAACAATGTCACAAAAAAGGTTAAATGGATTAGCTATATTGTCAATTGAGAAATACTTATTAGGAGTTACTGATTATAAGAAAATTATTAATAACTATGTGTCTAAGAAAAGCTAAAAAAATAGACTACAAATAAATAATTAAAAAAATTAAAAAGTTAAGGCCCCTCATAAAGTTTGACTTTAGGCCATAAAATTTGTTGGGCCTCCTCTGGGTTTTGGGGTTTTCCGGATTTTTTTCTTGCATGAATATTATTTCAATCTTACCTTGTTAAATTTTTGATAAGTAAATATATGTTTAGTAAAATTAACAAAAATGACAAACATATGATCTATAATTTTCTTAGTAACATATGATAGTTATTTTTTTAGTCGTCTGACAATAATTTTTCGTTGATGTACTCTTTCAAGGTTAACTGAATTTAATAATTAATCATAAAAATCAATATGATACATATATAATGATATATTCTATTTAATTTTAAATTATCAAAATACCACTTCAAATTCGAAAAGGATGTAAAAATTTAATAGATATCTTGACATATCAATATGGAAGAATACAGAGATTGACACATTTCACTAATATTTGATAAGAATGTGATCATACAACCCATTATTTAAAGATAATAAAAATAGAGCACTTCATATTTATTTAAATGTTACATCCCATGAGAGAATCACAAATATTTCTAGACATTTTTTTAAACAAAATTCTATAAAAAGTCTTAAAGTATATATAAAAATTATATATTTATATGTTGGTTTGATTCGATTTTTTTTACTCAGTATCAAACCAAATCAAACCAAACCTAATCGTATTTTTAATCGGTTTGGTTTGACTTTTCGATTTGATGCGATATTCCGGTTCGGTCTGTACACCCTATCAATAAGGCTCTTGGAGAGTTCATTCACACGTACAAGAATTTTTAGCTTGTAAGCCCCCATATCTGTCGGACGCATAAACATTAGAGTAAGGAGAAGGAAGATTAGTGTATAAGCTTTTATATTGATTACTCTATGCTTCATTGCTCAAGGTATATTCTTTTGAATTGTGTAGTGACTACACACTTGAAAGTATTTTGTGTTAGAAACTAAGGCACAATATTTACTCTGTGAATTTTATTCACATATATACAGTTGTGAATTAGCATCGCTAGTATCCTTTACATTATTTTCTAACATAATTATGAAGGAATTATATCTTAAATTATTTTGAGAACACTTTTGTCACTACAAATAACTTTAATAATCGTGTTACTAATAAACATCTTAGGGGTCGTTTGGTATGAGGGATAAGTAAAAATAGTGTTGGGATAAAAAATTAATACCACCTTAATATTTTGTTTGGTTAGCAAACCTGGGATAAGTTATCCCGGAATTAAAATTAAAATTAGTGTCGGGATAACTTATACCTTGTAGGGAGTTGGAAAATTAGTGTCGGGATAACTTATACCTTCTTCTTAGAAATTATGCAATGCATGCCTTTAATATAACATATCAAACCGTGGATAAAAAATAATATTAAGATAACTAATCTCAGCATAACTAATCACAGTATAACTTATCCCAGCATAACCTGTATTCAAATCAAACGACCCCTTATTGTTCGAATCTCTCTAAATCGAGCATAGCACCATAGCACTATCTTAAGCAGGATTTTATGCTGGGATTGTTTTATCTAATCCTTCCAGCCATATTCTTAGGCTGGACAACTAAAATGTAATAGAAACAGAAAATAGAGAACCATGGAACATTGACCCTTAATTGGACCGACTAGATTTTACGTTTGCGAAAATACCACCTTTTAAACATTTTACAAAAATAAATAAATAAATTAAAAATAAAAAAAATTCTGCATCGTTAATCTTTCCACTCTGAGCATCTTTTGACTATAGTAAACTTCAACTCCACTTTCTGAGACCAAAAGTTTATCCCTCTAGAACGAATAAAGAAGTTAAGAGGGTCTCTGGAAGTTGATATTAGCTAATAGGGTCTTGATAGTAAGAACCATCCAATCTAACCTAAATTCATAAGATCGGGGAAGGAACAAGGAAGCAAAAGTTGATATTAACTTCTTGTAGCAACTAACCTAATATACTCGTAATTGTTAATCAGCTGACAGTAAATTTCTTCTTATGATTTTTCAGTGTAGACAAAGTGGTGCTTAGCAGATGAAGTACTCGTGTGGTTTCTAATGCTGAAACAACAAAATATTGGCAAACTCAACTTAAAAAATTAGGCAGTAAATAGATATTCTTCACCACCATAACTACTAACATTGTAAACAAAATTTGGAACTAAAATGCAAATTTGCAACTGATGCCGAGAAGAACTAGTAGTCTCAACTTCATAACAGCACATAGGGAGAAAAAAACAAGCTCAGAAACAAAGTAAAATCAATAGCCTCCCTTCAAATCGTTGACCACGTCATATGGTATGGGAGTAACAGTTTCCAAAGTAGCACCTTCAACCATGAACCCTGGTTTGGGTCCTTGAGGTTGCCTCTTTGTGCTGATGACCTCACCCCTCGCCTTAGCCTCGGCCTTTAGCTGATCGTTCTTCTTGATTCTTTCCTTGACTTCTTCGGTGCACCGGGAAAGCTGAACATGCTCAATCCTCACATGGATCCTCTTCCGGAGGACTTTGTTACGAACCTGAAGTCCATAATAAGCAATCACATTAAATGCAGCACAAAAGAGTCAGTGAACCAAAGGAATAAAACACATCTATCATTCACTAGTCCTTTTTTGGCAAAAATATCAGTGGATGAATTGAAAAGATAGTTGTATTCAGTTTGCATCATCACCTGAATAACATGAAAATAGAGAGTGTCATGTTATGGAGGAAAATGTTTTCTAGTGTTTGGTTGCGTATAAAAGGGGTTGAAGAAGACTTGGGATCTTTGTAAAGACAAATGATTGCGTTAGTAGGTGAAGGGGCGGGATGTCACATTCTCCATTTTGGTGGATACAATTCCCTTGGAGACGACCTTTATCTAGAAACTGTTCACGGGAAATGGAGATTCCGAAGGATTAAGCTGGAATAGCAGAATCACTATGATTGTTCTGAATAGCTATCCAGTATTTTTTTCTTAGCTATGTAGTGTGTAGCCGTGAAACTATACAGTCGGAGCTCAGTTAGTATGAGCAATTAATATTTATTATCATTGAGCTGATACTATTTGAGATAAGGTCTCTACAAATTGTTAATCTCTATTTAGCTCCTCTGGTTCAAGAGGATCAAAATACATACTATATAACTATATTTCCAACCAAGAAAATCAAATTAACTTCACAACTTCTTATTATCCATATAAACAACACACAAAGAAACAACATTTTCAAAATTCCCAAATGAGTAAGAACCCAGATCTTACAATAAAACAAAGACCGAAAAAAGAGCAAATAAACAAACATATGGAGGGCATCAGCATATAAAATTTGCTTAAAGCAATTATGTAAGAATGACCTGTTTGTTGACTTCGACACCAACAGCGCGCTTGGTGACGTTCCAGACGCGTCCAGTACGGCCATGGTAGAACTTGTGGGGCATGCCCTTGTGAACGGCGCCGTTCACTTTGACATCAACATAGTCACCGACTTTGAAGATCCTGAGATAGGTGGAAAGAGGGATTACTCCCTTCTTTCTGAAGGCGCGAGAGAATGAATCCCTCGTCCGAGACCTTAATCCATGGCCGGCCGGCATTTTCCTCTGCGGAGTGCTCTGTCTGTGTTTCTGTGAAGAGAAAGGAAGAAATTGACGAAACACTACACTATATGTATAAATGTCTGTTGCAGCTAGGGTTTGTATCGGTTTGGACCCGGAGAGGGAATGTGGGCTTTTGCTTGTTCTGGACTATATTTGGGATGATGGATACAAAAGGGACTTTTTTGGGGTGGTATTAGCAAAATGTTCCTAAAATTAGCGGTATTTAAAAAAGTGACCCCAGATTCGCACAAGCTCTTCAGGGGTTTCTTTACTGGATTAAATTATTTGTTGAAAAATCTATCGGATTGTCGTACTTTTGCTCTTCAGGATTTCTTTACCAATCCGATAGAGTTGATGCTATTACTACTTTACCTATCTGTTAAGTTGTTCATCAAAATCTACCCAATATTCATACTTCAGCTCTTCAGGAATCTCTACTAGATTAGTAGGGTTGATGCTAATTTTCTCTACCTATTTTTTAAGTTTTTTTATTGAAGTCTACCAGATTAGCACACTAATTCTAGGTTATTTTAACAAAGTTTTCTTCGAATTTGCTACTTAATTTCGATCAAAACACCCCAAATCTGTTCCAAATGATCTCAAATATGAAACAAAGCATTCAAATACCAATATAAATAATCCTAAATTACCAATTTAGTCAAATAACTTCAAATCAAAAAGACCAAATTTGTCTTCTTCAATACTTTTAAGGCCTGACAATAGAGTTTTGAGAATTTTTATAGTAAATCACTAAAATCTGTATTTGAACTATAAACTTAAGCACAAGTTATCAATATTCAAACTATTTTTAACAATAATTGATTAGTAACTTCAATTTTCCACCACCAAATAAGAATTTCAAGCTTTAAAAATTGAAGAACTATGGTATTCAAGTAAAAAGGGGACATTTTACTAAGATCGTAAAGAAATGGGCCATTTCGCCATGATCAGTCCCTTTGGGGGACACGACGTGCAAATTTTTGCTATATTTGATTATATTGGTCTACTATACTGGATAAGTTGTTGGGCTTATGAGAGAAATGCCCTAATGGCAAGGATAAATAACGCTTCGCTGCCCCTCTTCTGCTATTTTCCCAAACCGTGCCCATTCTTTCTTCTTCTTCTTCTTCTTCTTCACATTTCAGCTTTAATATTCCATCCAAAATTACTGAAATCCTCATCCAAATCATCTCAAGCTTCAGAACCAATCAAACTGGATCATTTTAAGTATCTTTTAACAACACCCATCAATTTCTTACAGTAAATTCTTAGATTCAGTCTCAAACTCAAGCTTCAAATTCTTAATAATATTGGTCTCGAATTTTCTCCAAATTAATCGTCGATTTCAGATGCATTTTATCATTTGAAGCTTACCTACTTACACCAGGTTCAAAGTTTAGCACGCCAGATGTTCGATACGGAAATTTAAAGCTGAAATACCAAATTTTAATAACAGCGCATTTCTAAATTTTTCACCCAAATTTCACCCAAAATCAATATTGTAATCCAAGTTTAAGAACCAATAATGATTTTTCACTCGATTTCAGTATGAACAAGCATAAATTTCAGGTTTCATCCCCTAAAATAAAATTTTAAAGTTCCAAGTTAAAGAATAATGGAGTTTCTCGAATTTTTCCCCGACTTTGACCCGCCTATCATTAGTTATTCAAAATTTTAGCTTTAAATTTCACTTTGAATCTGGTCGAACATAATAAACCATACGAGGCAAGTCCAAAATAAAGGATTTTGCTATGTAATTACTGGACATGTTCAAAAGATTGAGATTCAATTTGAAGCTGAAGCAAGCCAATGAAATTTTTAGCTAAAGTATAACTTTGATTGAAATTTTAATTTTTTTTGTGGTGATTTCAAATATACGTATAATGTAAAATATACTTCTATGTGGACAATAATTTCCTATCATGACCCACAATTTCACCAACAGTCATGATGATACCTAACACGCTGGCTAAATTAGACAATCATGCAACTATCTAATGAATAGCATAAATAAAGCATTATATCAAGTCTAAATGAGATTCATAGCATAATAAAATCAAGAACTCATATAAATACGAGAAACAATAATACATCTCCCTAGAAACTAGTATCAATGAGTACATGAGCTCTAAGAGTATCGAAATACAATAACTAGAAATAAATACATCACCGTCTGAAATAAATAACAGCTCTGATACATGAAAGGAAAGGTGCCGCTAGTTTTATGTTATGACAAGAACTAACCAAAGAAAACAGGATTAATCCCACTTTTTGTCCTTTTCTNATGGATTTTACTCATAGAACGCTAGTTTTATGTGATGACAAGAACTAACCAAAGAAATCAGGATTAATCCCACTTTTTGTCCCTTTCCTTTCTTAGGTTTGCTAGATAGAAAGAAGGCGAAGAGCGCAATAAGGTAATTGATTCTAGTCAATCGTTTAGTTCGCCTAAAGCTTAAAGAATGTAAAGTTACCACATCAAGTCAATGACTGCCACGTGTCAAGAAGAATTCAGAGGTGTGCTGAGTGCGGTTGTTCTCAGCTCTTTAGCGCCCTATGGCTCTGCTACCGTGATGCTTGGCTGAGACTCCCTACCGATGTATCGATCCCACACATTTAGACCAATCCTAGCGGACAGGACAAAACTTCCCTTGAAGAAAGCCAGCCTAAGGGAACTGGATTGGTCATTCCACGTTCGAGGCCTGCGGATAGACAGGCTACATTACCTCGAGTCTCCCGGGTATAGCCATAAATCTAAGCCTCAACTCTATTGGTACCAACACTTAGATCTGCACAGAATGTCTAGAGTGTAGTATAAGTACAACTTATCCAATATACTCAATAAGTATCAAAACTAACATCGGTGAAGTAGTGACGAGATTGGCCAACTGAGACTTACAATCATAACCTAAATAATCCGTAAATAAATACAACACAAAAATCTAGCAAAAACAGTATACAAGATGATCAGGTGTACAACTAATAGAGATAATATCATACTTTCAGATAATAAATGATCAAAGCTTATACTAGTATATCAAATCAACATATAAAGATGATATGCATCACAAAGCATTATTATAAACGCCAACAATGTGAATCTATAATGTCCATGCATGAATAAGACTTACGACCATCATCCGACACTCTTCAAATGTCCAACAAATCTACGCACACATGACCCAAGGTACAATAGATGATCACCTAACTTGGAGGGATAAATTCAAATCCATGTACCGCACGAACAATTCAACGTGCATAACATAGTCTGCACGGATAACTCACGTGCCATAACATAATCTGCACATACCATTCACATTCTATAATCATCTCAACCACACTGATAACTCACGTGCGTGCCTCAACCTTGTCACACCTCCTTTTTTACTTACACCCCGTAAAAGGGTATAAATATGAGGGAGTTTTTTCAATTAAAGGACAATCGAAACGAGATTGTTTATTTATTAAAAATTAGAGTCGCCACTAGGGATAATTTAGGGTGTCCCAAGTCACCAGTTTAAAATCCCGAATCGAGGAAAAGATTGACTCTGTACTACAGTCTGCGAACACAGAAATCCGGGTAAGGAATTCTGTTAACCTGAGAAAAGGTGTTAGGCATTCCCGAGTTCCGTGGTTTCAGCACGGTCGCTTTGATCATACTTGACTTATTAAAATTGTTTAATTACTGACTTTCGATCCTATGTGCATTTACCCTTTACCGCTTTTAAATCACTTGATTATTCGTAGTTAAAGAAGTGAGTCACGTGTACGTATACTCCTTTCTTTTGGCGCGTCAAAAATCATGTCACGCGAACGTGTCCATAATTAATAACGCTTTGTTTATTTATTTAAGAAAAATTGACTGAAGTTGCGCGGACGCATCCCTCGAGTCTCTTTAGAGTTAAATTTGCAATTACATTACGCGAACGTATATATAATTGCAATACTAATCTAAATCGGGCCTAAAACAAACTACGAGCATTATGATTCTTTAAAAGCAACATTTATGAGGGCCATGGAAGTTCGCTAAATGGCGCATCTCGAGCTATTCCAAAAGGGCTTTACTCAACTAAAACAAAATATGGATGTTTATGAATATTAACGGCCTAAGTATGCTACTATTGATCCAAACAAATAAAGTAGAAACACATTCTTGATGATTTTTTTATCATAAAAATACCATAACATATTCAAAATATGGCAATGACACTTTAATTCGATTCTCTGTGCAATTACTCCATAGCATCATACAAATTACCAACAAACAGACGTTCACATGACATTTGGGTACTCAAGGTCAATAATCACAACAAAATCATAAAATAAGTAAACAAATCAATTCACATGTAAAATAAAAGGGAAGGGGAGTATTAGCAAATGGGTAATGAATCAGTCACGAGCAAATTTATCAAAGCAGAAGGAAAACCAAAATAAGAAACTAAACCTTCAGGAGAATCTTTAACCGCAGTTCTTTCCATTACTTGATCCAATATGACATCTCCAAAATGAATTGTGAAACAATAGAGAAAGGCTAATGTTGAACAAAGAACCCGACCTCAACAAACATATCCCGGACCGGCGACCACAGACAGAAGCAAAGACGAACAACGACCTCTACGCTTACCGAAAAACTCAGATTCGAACCCAACCGTACTAAAATGACGATGTTATCACATCAATGACGACATTGGAGCAACATTAGACGCGACACACATGAAGAACTGCAAGAGAACTAACTCTGTCCAAACTCGACATAAAATCCAAGTCTTGAAAGATCTCAACTCGTCGGACATAGAAGTACTGTACACTAGTTTATTTGAAACCCGTTTCTAAAGCTAACATCAGAGGATGAGAGTGAAGAAAGCAGAACATTTTGTTTTTGACTGTGTGTATGGAGGTCGCCCTTTATTGCGTTTTTTTCCGGCCAGATCTGTCACCAAACTGTTAGCGATGACATAGGGTGAGGAAGAACGAGGGATGAGGTTGTTTCGACCATGGTTGGTCGCCGGAGCTTCTGTTTCAATCCATTTCCCGCCCTGTTATTTTCGTGTATGTGTGTGTGTTCAAATGGTATAGCCAAGATGAAGCTCGGGGTGGTCGTTTGTGGACTGGTTTCCGGCAGCTGGTCTTTGGT